AATAATTCCAAACTGTATAATGTTGGAACGTTCAGCTGAGTGAGGAACATGACTGTACCTAAGTCAAGGATATAATAATCCAGTCTGTCCTGAGCACTTCACATGCTGATAATTATTTAGAGACTTTGGATCCATTTTTTTGAAGGGGAGATCAACAATTTGTTTTGTTTATTTTTTTTAAAAAGTATTAGAAATGGCAACAGATCCCGTTGGCACTGCTTAAGTACAAGTTGGAAAACCATGGCTGGGGAATGTAGACTGGATGGAAACACATGCCATCTTGTGGTGGCGTGTGTGAATTGCAGGAGCAGCAGATAGGCTGCCACCTTAGTTAACTGAGAAATAAAGGGTAAAATGACAGTAAGTTATCAGGTACCTTAAAAGGATGCAGATGCAGTTTTATTTTCCTTTTTAAATTTCTTCTGGATACGAAAAGGACTTTTTGTCTCATATTATTACAGTATTTATTTTTGAAATTCGATGTATTCTTAAATAGTATAAGATGCCTTTGCTAAAACATTCAGAGCAACTTTTTTTTTTCCTGGATTTGTAGCCGAATTAAATGTTTGCCCTCATAGCTCTATTCTAAGCACTTAAAAAAATTTTTTTTATAGAGACAAGGTCTCGCTAAAGTTGCCCAGGCTGGACTCAAACCCCTGGCCTCAAGTGATCCTCCTGCCTCGGCCTCTTAAAGCACTGGGATTACAGGCATTAGCCTCCATACCTAACCTCTGTTCTAAGCACTTTAAAACAAATACTGTAAAATCAACATCTTCCGTAACATTTATTTTTATTCTGTTTAGCTTCCCATGTGGCGAAATACAAGAATGTGTATAGGGAGAGGCTTACAGACATAGGGTATGGCTCAAAATGACAAAGGGAAACTGAGAGAGAGTCAAGGAAGATGGGGTTATGTGTAGGGGTAAAACAGGAGGTTGTGGTAGAGGTGAGAGGGAATAGAGAGGGATGGTGGGAAGAATGGTAGCAGGCACAGAGGGCAGGGCTGGATCTGACCTGTGCCCTTTTCTCTGACTTCATATACCCTGGGCTTCCTAGCTGGTTCAGGACTGTGGGCCCTCATAGTGCTGGTCTCTGCCTAGACTTCCCTGTTTCCTTCAGCTAATACCCACTTCATTTTTCAAAATTCATTTCAGACTTCCCCCTAGGATGCTTGTAAGTGTCACCGATTTTGGGCCTTCCATACATAGTACACTGTAAATGCTTTCATTGTAGTGCTTGCCACACCATATTCTAATTCAGAGCTTCCCAACAGTTTCTCAACTCAGATGTGCCAGGAAACCCATTCTCTTTCCTGCTTGTGGAGTTGGGCCTCTGTCCTAGATTGAGTGCCCAGGGCTATGAGCAACTTCCTTTGTGCATCCCGGTACCATAAGTGTCATTTTCTATGTGTGGAAAAAGTGGGAATTGCTCCTTAATCAGTAGTACCTTCGACCATTTCCCCAGCAAGACGACTTTGAAGGCAGGCTAATATGCTGGAAATTGAACTTGTCTCCCAGGCCCCCTGGCTCCGTGTTCTCAGTTGTCGTCTTACCTCACTGATCAGTGGTTATGGTTCTCTCCTGCTGATTTCTCCTTCTGGGAGTGGTCTTTAAACACAGAAATGTTCTGGGGCTCAACACTTGGACCTCTTCCCTGTCTTCACTATCTAGGTTTGTGTTTCTCAAACTGTAATGTGCCTTCTTGTCACCTGGGGATTTTGTTAAAAGTCAGATTCTGATTAGGGTAGGTCTGGACTGGAGGTTCTGCATTTCCGACAAGCTCTCAGGTAGGGCTGGTGCTGCTGGTACAGGAGCACACCTGGAGTAACAAGGCCTGGGGTGGGCTGAAGTCGTCGCATTCGTTTTGTGACTTCAGTATCATCTGACGTACTGACAAGTCCCAAATTGTATCTCCACTGTGGATCTCTCCCCCAAACTTCAGACTTACATATCCAGTTGACTCCCTGACAGCTCCATTTGGATATCTAAAGAAATCTTAAATTTAATATTTTGAAAGCAGAACTAATTGCCACCATTTTGTGAACACCTCCCCAGCTCTCCCCTATTTCAAGAAATAGCAACTTCATTTTTCTTGCTGCTCAAACCGAAACTCTTGTGTCATCCTCTCGTCAGATGACCCACATGTAACCCATCAGTTCTCCTCTCACAGTATTTCCAGGATCTGACCACTTCTCACTGCCTATACTGCTTCTTGTCTGGATTTTTGCAGCGGCCTAATCACTCTCTCTGCTTCTCTACCCTGGACTTGTTTCAGTCCAAAGTAAATCTGTTAAATCGAAGTCAGATGTCTTACGCCACTGTTCAAACCTTCCAGTGAATTCTCTCCTCACTCAGTAAAACTCAGAGCCCTTGTAGTGGTCTGCAAGGCCCTTGTGTAGTGGGTATAGTCTGGAAGCTGCCCGGACCCCACCCCTGGCCAGTTAAATCACACTGTCTGGAAAATGGAGTCCAAGCTTCAGGTGGTTTGATTTTGAAAAGCCTCCCCTGGTGATTCTGATGCAAAGTCTACGCAGGCTCTGGCCTTTTCCTCCTCCTCTGAACTCGTCACCCGCCACTCTCTCCTTCTCCATTTCTGTGCCAGCCACAACAATCTCCTTGCTCTTCCTTAAACATGGCAAGCATCCATATAAGATGTTCTGAGAGAAACACTCTGAAACAAGAAAAAGTAGTGAGAGCAAGATGATTCTTGCCATCATACTGATGAGTTTTAGTTGAATTTTAAAACATACAATGTTAAAAAAATCAGCTTTGAAATATATGCCTTTTTGTCTTGATTTAAAAGCAATATGCTATTTTTCCTAGTGTTGTATGTGACAGTCTATGCTTAGTCATTGTTTACCAAAAGATCCAGGTACTAGACTTTCTTCAATATGTTAAAAAGAAAAAAAAAGTGTGTGATACCATCTCCTCCTGCTGTAACCTGCAGTGGTTATACATCATTAACACCTCCGGCGTGCATTTGCTATCGGGTTAGTGCCAACAAAGCTGAATATACTTATCATTGATTTGAAGATGTCTTACTTTTTGTTGAAGATTCCATATGTCATAGTTTTTTTTTTTAAACTCTTTTTAAAAAAGTAATAGGAGTACAAGCTAAAAATCCAGTGGTATGAAAGGGCATATAGTAAGAAGCCAGTCCCCTTCCTGCCCCAGCGTTCAGCACCCATTGTTACCAGCCAATATGTCATGCCGTAGGTCTTAAGCCTTCTTTTTTGTTCTTGTTATTTAAACGTTTTTGCCTATTTAATTTTAAGAATTGTTAATGTAATGAAATGAGTAAAAATGCATGCCATGAGTTTTTCAGTATCTTTTAACAAATAGAAGAAGATTAAATTATCAAAATGACATTAAGGGTACTCTGTAAATCTAAAATAGAAGTAATTCCTAGAACATTTTCCGGGGCAGACATTCCTGTTTCCTCTGAGTTCCAGGAAGCTGTCTCCTCCCTGAATTGAAATTTGTCTGGCACTGTTCTGTTCTCTGAGAGTGTGCTCCAGGCTTCCTCTGCCCCAGGGCCTGTTCTGTCTCTCCTGTGTGCCCATCGAGAGTCAGCCTTTCCTTTGAGTCTTGCCCTCTTGCCCTCGGTGATCTGCACCCTGAATCATTCTCCCTCTTTTTCTTGCCTTAAGTAACCAGAGTTCCCTTACAGCTGTTCATGTGCAGGACCTGACCTCTTTTTCATGATCGTCCCCATTGGCTTCCATGTTCAACAGATATTTATTGAGGAGCTTCCCTAGCCCTTTTTATTGGCCTAAATGGATAAGATAATGGATTTTGGAGTGAGATACTGATTCAGATCCCAACTCTGCCTCTAATTAGTTGTGTGACTAGACAGATTGCTTAATTTCTCTGGGCGCCTTCTCATTAAAATGAGACCCATAGTAGTGCTTTCATTATAGAGTTACTATGAGGGTTAAATGAGATCGTTTATGCAGGCTGGGCACTGTGGCTCAAACCTGTAATCCTAGCACTTTGGGAAGCCGATGTGGGAGGATCATTTGTGCCCAAGAGTTTGAGACCAGTCTGGGCAATATAGGGAAACTCTATCTACAAAAACTTTAAAAATTAACAGAGTTTAGTGGGGCATGCCTGTGGTCCCAGCTACTCTGGAGGCTGAGGCAGGAGGTTGAGGCTGCAGTGAGCCGTAATCACACTGCTGCATTCCAGCCTAGGTGACAGAGTGAGACCCTGTCTCAAAAACAACAGCAAAAGAGATTGCTTATGCAAAAAGCTTAGCACAGTGTCTTTCGACAGATGAATGGATAAGCCAAACGTGGTATCTCCATACAGTGGAATATTTTTTGGCCTTAAAAAAGACTGAACTTCTGACATGCCTCGAAACATGGTTGGACTTTGAAGGCATTGTGCTAAGTGAAGTTAGCCAAACAGAAAAGGATGAATACTGTATTATTCTACTTACATGAAATTCCTAGATTAGGCAAATTCATAGAGAAAGAAAGTAGAGTAGAGGTTACCAGGGGATGGAGTAGAGAGGGTGCCAGAGAAGAAGGGGTAGTTATTGCTAAATGGTTATAATGTTTCTGCTTTGGGTGATAAATAGATTTGGACATAAATAGTGGTGATGGTTGCCCAACATTGTAACTGAAATTCATGCTACTGGATTGTACATTGAAAAATGATTAAAATGGAGAAGTATATATTATATATGTTTTACCACAATTAAAAAAAATAACATACCAGAAACCATTGAATTACACACTTGAAATGGGTGAATTGTATGGTCTGTGAATGATGAGTCAGTAAAATTTTTTAAAAGCAAGCTTAGCATAGTGCCTGGCATATATGTAGTAAGTACTGAATAAATGGTAGTTGTGGTGGTAATCCTTAATATTTAGTGAGCATTTAAAGTTGATTCTAGGCATTAGAGCAATATTTAATGGTTGAAATTAAAATGTTTGTTTCAGTTTTGTCTCTAATGGGCTCTCATTAATTTTCTCATATCTCATTTCTGTGCCTCAGAGTTATTGATTTAGGAGTCATGACTCCATGTGATAAGATACTGAAAGCTGCTCTTGACCACAAAGCAGGTACTGTGCAACTGTACTTTGGGCATTTCTCTAAATGTGGTATCCCCAGGTGCCTGTCATTTCCCTAGTTGTCTGTCAGTGAATAGTGATGCCTGTGAGGGATCTGTGGGACATACAGACGATCAAGTGCCAGCTCCTGCACAAGGTTGCTTTTGTTGCCATTTCTAATGGGATTGAGAGAGGAGAGTGAGTAACTATGGAACCAAGTGCTGGAGATGGGGAATGGGGACAGACTTCTTATAAGAGGACAGTTGTATTAGATTTTTTTTCTGTGTGTAGTCATTTTTATATTTCTTCTCACACTGTGATATATTCAAGTCTGGGAAATCATGAGCTAAATATACCTTCTATTGCATGGCTTCCTAAAACTATGGCAAGTATTGCAACCTTAAGTTATAAATCTTATTTACTACCAAAAGCAAACAGTAAATTGAAATTCCCCAGTCGGAAAGGATGTCTTAGAATTAGAAACTGGTGAAAGGCATGGTGGCTCACACCTGTAATCCCAGCATTTTGGGAGGCTGAGGCCGGCAGATCACTTGAGGTCTGAGTTTGAGAACAGCCTGGCCAACATGGTGAAACCCCGTCTCTACTAAAAATATAAAAATTAGCCAAGGTTGGTGGTGGGCACCTGTAATCCCAGCTACTCAGGAGGCTGAGGCAGCAGAATCACTTGAACCCAGGAGGCAAAGGTTGTAGTGAGCCAAGATCGCACCACTACACTCCAACCTGGGCAACAGAATGAGACTCCGTCTCAAAAAAAAAAACAAGAAAGGAATTGGGAATTCGTGTTAGGTCTTTTGGTCTTCATTACAAAGTTTTTAAAATGGTTCTTCATCCTTTTCTTCTTTCTGTCATCCTCACTGTCCTTTTTGTCCTTTTTTTTTTTTTAAAAAAAAAATAATAGATATAATTGGCCTGTCAGGACTCATCACTCCTTCCCTGGATGAAATGATTTTTGTTGCCAAGGAAATGGAGAGATTAGCTATAAAGATTCCATTGTTGATTGGAGGAGCAACCACTTCACGGTAAGTTATATTAATGAGCTTTGTCCTCACTTCAAATTCTCTTAAATGCCAGTGTTTAAAACAGTGGTAAACCTGTGTTGTTTCGGATTTTCTCTTGTGTTTAGTACATTGACTTTTTGTTATATAAACACAAAAATTTTCTGGTGTTCACTTGGGTGAGAGCCAGAATACTTTCAGAGCATGCTATAGGAAACTTTTTTGTGATTTCTGTTCTTTGCTTTTTCTTGGATTTCTTTGGCTTGCAATAATCTTTTTCTTAACGCTCTCACTTCCGATTCAGTTCCTGAGAATTATAATGAACTCTTCTTGTGAAATTAAACTGAGTGGAGAAGCTGTGTTTTTTGGCACAAAATCATTACTTGAACTTTTTCCCACACTGTCTTGAAGCAGGTGTCTGATTGAATAATTATAGGTTCCTTTGAAGGAACTCTACCCTTGTAGTAGTTTGGAGACAGAAAGCCCATCTAGCAAGAATGAACTAAGTGGTCACTTTGGAGAGTTGAAAGGGGAGCTTTTTGGGAACCTTTGGGTTAACAACATAAAGAGGTATAAAATGTCAAGATGAGAAAGTTCAAATTTGTTCACATGATAATTATTCAGTTTACCAGATTTTTCCTGGGATCATGATCATAGTGATATGTGGTAAGTGCTATGTTAACTGTGGGTGCTAGACCTTTTATGCCACGTACAGTTCACTTTCTCAGGGAGCATTATCATACTGGAGCGTTGAACTCAATGGTCCCATAACATCTAGTTTATTTTTCTGATGCAGAAATACAATAAAGATCTGGTTATAGGTATGCCAGAGTTCCTTTTGCACTAGAAACAACTGTACATTCAACCAATTTGTATAGGGTTGTTCAGAGGAACAGAATCAATAGGATATGTTTATATATAGAGAGAGAAAGAGATTTATTTTAAAGAATTAACTCCTGTGATTGTGGAGGCTGGCAAGTCTGAAATCTGCAGGCTGGAGACACAGGTAAGTTGATTTTTTGAGTCTAAAGACAGTCTGGAGGTGGAATTTCTTCTTCCTTGCAGGGCTGGGGAGTGAACAAGGGACCTTAGTCTTGTCTCTTAAAGGCCTTCAGTTGACTGGATGAGGCCCACCTACGTAAGTGGAGGGTAATGTGCTTTACTGTAAGTCTACTGATAAATGTTAATCACATCTAAAAAAAATACTTTCACAGTAACATTTAGGTTGTGGTTAACCAAAAAGTGTATACCATGGCCTAGCCAAGTTTATACGTGAAATTAACCATCATACCATTTACAATTTGAATGCGTCATCTTCATCAGTAGAAACAGTATGATGTGTCTTTTATCCATTAGCTGTTCTTCATACTTGAAGGATTCGATGGTTTGACTGTCATTGCTAACGTTAGAAAACAGGGTTTGTTTTTCCACAAAGGACTTATGTACCAGGAAATGTGGCAGACTTGGTCTCAAGGGATATGGCCACCCATTAATAATGGGTTTTGATGAGCATGAGCTTGGGTAATTGACGACAAGCTTAGTGAAGAGAATGGTAAGAGGACCTAAGGACTTGTCAGAATGAAAGACTTTAATATCAGTTGTAAAGTAGAATAAATAAGTATTTAAAGGAATATAATTAAAATACGTTACATGTTATGTAAATATGATGCTGGCTTCAAAAAAAGAATCTTTTTATATGGTGGGACACTATACTCAGAAATTTGCTTCTTGTGCAAATTGGAACTTTACCAAATAGTCCATTCTATTGTTTACCATGTAAAAGCTACCAGATTAAAGAAAAAAAACTTTGAGAAGCAACGTGACTAGCCTCTCAAGATACATTATTGGCAAAATTAGCTTGTTAATGATTCTTAACAGTTATAACCTGATACATCAAATTAGAATTAATGAGATAGGAAATCACCAACATCTCTTCAGTTACTGCGAAATATCTATTCTCGTTGTCTGGGAAACCGTAAATGTGTTTGGCCTGAAGGTAGAAAGCTGGGACCACTGGCCGCCTAAGGTTTCTTTCGACTCTCCAGTGTTTTGTTTCTCTGTGAGCCCTGCCTCTTCTGGTTCTCTTCTCTTCCATACCTGTTGCAGTTTCTGGGAAATTACTTGGAAAATAAGAGCCAGTAGGTAGCACTGCTTCCCGGGACACTGCGGTGCTGGAACAGCCTTTGGAAAACAGAGTCCCGTGCAACCTCCAAGCACTTCAGTGTAGAATTTCCCAGTTCTGACTCCATTCTTATTAATGACAGTGGAAGAGGTCTTCTATCTGAAGTCTTGCTTTATCAGGCTCTCTTATTTAAGTAAGTGCTTTTACAGAAGTTTAGCAGTTATGCAGAAAAGTACACAAATCATATAGATGTACAACTTGACAAGTTTTTACAAAAGGGAACCCACCCATGTAACCACCTCCAGATCAAGAAATAGAACACTAATGGCACCCTAGGATCCATGCTTCCTCCACCCAGTCATGCTTTCCAACAAAAGTAACCACTGTTCTTTCTTCTGTCGCCATAGGTTGATTTTGCCTGCATTTCAAATTTATATAAGTGGAGTCATATTGTATGTGTTCTCCTGTGTCCGGCTTCTTTTGCCCCACATCATGTCTCTGAGTCTCTGAGGTCCCAGCCTTGTTACAATAGTCGTTTGTTTTGTTGTTGTTCTTTTTCAACGTAGTATTCCATTGTATAATGTGCTGTGACTTATTGACTCTTGCTACTGTTGATGGACATTTGGGGTTTTCCACTTTGGGGCTATCACAAACAATGCTGCTGTGAACACTTATGCTTATGAATTTTGGTGCACATGTATGTGTATTTCTGCCTAGAAGCAGAATTGCCAGATCATAGGATCTGCCTATGATCATCTTCATTAGCTATTGCCACATAGTTCTCCAGAGTAATTGTAGCCGTTTACACTGCCACCAGCAATTGTGAAAGTTTCAGTTATTCCACATCCTTTTCAGTGTTATCCCTCGTCATGGGTGTAGTAATACCTTGCTATGGTTTTCGTTTGCATTTCTCTGCTGAGTAATGATGTTGAACACCTTTTCATTTGTATATTGACCATTTGGATATGCTTTTAAAATATTTTTAAAAATTGGGTATTCTGCTTTATTCTGACTAGTTTGTACACATTCTTTAATTTATAGTAGTTACAAGCCCTTTATCAGAAATACATATGTTGCGAATAGATTTTTTTTAATCTGGCTTGCCTTTTGCTGTCTTAGTGCTGTCTTTGGATAACAGAAGTTCTTAATTTTTATAAAGTCTGATTTATTGGTCTCTTCATATATGGTTAATGCCTTTTGCCTCCAAATAAGTAAATCATCTCCTAGGAAAGCCACCTTTGCTAGAAGGCATTCAGGAGTTGAAATGTCTCAGAAACCCATCTAGGAGCCCTTATTATTTCATACAAACCAGTGGAGGACTTAGCAGTAGCTCATTAGCTCAGGACTTCCATATTTTCATGAAAACATCGTTGAGGGGAAATGACCCTATGGCTTTTCCAGACATCAGTGACTTGCAGCAGCATGAGTAGAACCGAAACTGTACCCCCAGGACACTCGAAATGAAGGTGAAGGCTGTCTAGTGCAGGAGTGTCCCGTCTTTTGGTTTCCCCGGGCCACATTGGAAGAAGAATTGTTTCAGGCCACACATAAAATACGCTAACACTAACGATAACTAATGAACTAAAAAAAAAAAAAAACTGCAAAAAATCTCATAATGTTTTAAGAAAGTTTACGAATTTGTGTTGGGCCTCATTCAAAGCTTTCCTGGGCTGCATGTTGGACAAGCTTAGTCTAGTGAATGAATCGATATTTGGCGAGATTGAAAGAGTTAAATAGATTTGGGATCTTTGGTACCTGAGCATACACTAGGCATAAAACAGGAGGGTCTCAGAAGGCCATGGAGTTCATTCATCTGCCCCAGGGCCATGGTCTGGCCCCCCTGCCACTCCGTACCCCAGCCTTCCCGGTCCGAAAGATGGCTCTTGACTCACTGGCTTATGCATGAATGCCCATCTTCCAGCTCAGTTCTCATAGCCTAAGGCTTTGTAGTCCTTTGCTTCCTGTTTACGAGTGGAGATACTGTTAGGAAGATGGAACAGATGAAGTGTTACTGGTTTTGTCTGTCTTATTATGAGTTTTTAGAGCTTTCCTTGAGAAGCCTGTTAAAAACACACTCATGCATATATTACACCTATAACAGTCTCTTGGTTTTTAAAAATTACCTCAATAATCCACATTTACTAGACCTTGTCAAACAATTCAGAGGAATGTAAAGTACAATTGAGTCTCTCTCTTCCCACCTTCAGCCTCACCTCTAACCCCCATAACCAGTGTGGACACTTCGATGTGT